TACGACATGATAATGTATGTATTGTTGAGGATATACATGAAAAAAAAAGTGCAATATTTACTGGTCAGTTGTATGTAAAGAAGACACTGGCGTGATTTAGCTTTGTAACAGATTTATGTAAATTAAGTTTATGCTCAAAAATTCAGAATGCTCAAACTGTTTGCAATCAATCCTGCTGGTTTCCATTGAATCTATATTTTCCGCCATGTCACTGAAACATCACTAAAAGCTTGACAAAGTAGCTTCCTAGTCAAGGTCACTTTCCTTCAAACGATAAATTCCTTCAAAGGTTTGAAGTAGTCTGTATTAGACCCATGCTGTGTGTCTAGGCATTAGACACTGTATCACGGGGCAGTCTCCCTTCCTAATCTTGTCTTGTCAGTGATGTATAATCATGTCACAACATGTCAGATGTGCTGACCTGCTCCAGGAGGCAGGTAGAAGACAAATATAGCTAGCACGCTGGTGAGGATGCAGGGCACAATGATGTTGATGATGTAGAAAAGTGGCTTCCTTTCTATGATAGGTAGAAGGTGATGTCCTCATACAGGTCCTCCTTAATGTTCTTTCTTGAGGGTTTGTGACAGATGGCCCATTCTCCGTTTTCTGTGAGAGAAAGAGAGGTGAGAAGGCAGGAGAAATTGGAAGAAGATTGGTGAGTAGAAAAGAAAAAAAAAAAGTCTAATCTGTGTAATAATATAAAATACATAATAAAATGATCATTATTATTATAAATCTTTAGGACATAGATTAAAATGGTACAAATAAATAAAAAAACACCAGGTGGCTAAAGAGAAGAAAAGATTTAAAAAGCAAATCCTTGTGCTAAAATGTAGCTATATATATAACGATTAAGATGTCATGATGTACACAGAACACAGGGCAATAGGGTCTGAAGGCACCAACCAGTAAAAGCATTCTCATCTATAACAATCTCTTGAATCTCTTTGCCCTCATCATCCAGAAAGTACTGCAGGTCCACCTCAGAGGCGTCATAGGTGTACGAGCGGAAAACCATGCTGCAGTTCTGCCAGTCAAATGGGAAGTACGACACCTGTTGGAGTGGAAGTTAAAGAACTTCTTCATCACTTTTCAAAGGGAATGGGGATATACCTAAATGTGGAATTATAAATAAAGGTCCATGAAAGTATAGAGTACTACACTAGGGTATTACGTCTTTAATGCTAGTACAGTCAGGCCATACATTGTCCTTCCTGGAACTTTACGCACAACACAGTTGATCCAAAGAGCTTCACAGCACACAAAGAGAAAAAAAGAGAAAAAGAAAGGAGAAAAACACAAAAGAAAACAACATCACAGAGACAGAGAGTGAGTGAGGGATTTACATTTTTAGTTGTCAGTGTACCAGTGGTATGTGATCTTAAAGACAGTACCTCTATGGAGCAGGAGCTGCGGTAGATGGCTGGGGGAAGCCAGTTGACTGTCCCATCACTGTAAACCAAGACGTTGACGTACAGTGCCACGTCAAACTGACCGTCATTACTGTATGGAGCATATAGAAAGACAAATGTGAAATTGCAAATAAGTCAGGTTGTATAGAAGTCTATGAGAAGGACTTTACTTTTCACTTGATTTATTACCTCAGTGAACATTATCCTAATGAGTTTATGATCTCATTCGGTAGCTTAAAGTGAGATAAACTTTAAGCATGCCTTAAGGATGTAAAAACCCGGATGACCTGCAATTATCTGATGTTAAATTGAAGTTATTGTACTTGACCCCAAACACCTCAGAGAAGCATTATCTAAAGATATAGTTGGCATCGATAGACTGCTGGCCCCCAAAATTGTAATTCTGACTTGATGATGGTGCTAGATGAAAAGTTAAACATGATTATTATTCATCCAACGAAGGTTAAAATCAAGGGCAACTGGACTTGGTTGAAGATACTGGAAGACGTTTCGTCCCTCATCCAAAGGACTTCTTCTGTTCTGACTGACTGGCTGGGAAACTCAGCAATTTAACCTCAGTGGGGTCGTTGGCCCGGGTCATCGGTACCGCTGGTTCGTTAGTGTTCCTTGTTGCTGTGACGACAGTCGTTAAAGTCGTTAAGACTACCTGTGGCCAAGACTGAACGACCATCGTTGGTATCTTCACCTGAGGCCAATAGGTTACGTTTGTTGAGTTTCCTGGGAAGTGATGAAAGGACAGCATTGTAAGTGAGGGATAAGGTGGCGTAGACCCCCTCCCCTGTTCAATGACGGCTTCTCGACCCGGGTGTAGATGGCTTCCTTGACACCTCTTTCAAACCATCCAATGAATAGTCTGAGTTTCCCTGCCAGTCAGTCAGAACTGAAGAAGTCCTTTGGATGAGGGACGAAACGTCTTCCAGTATCTTCAACCAAGTCCAGTTGCCCTTGACTTTAACCTTCGTTGGATAACTATGACCTGGATGACTGAGAATCTTCATAGACATGATTATTATTCATTCTGATGGAGAAATAAATGTCTGAACCAGCTTTCAATGCAGCCCACCAACAGTTGTTGAGGTATTTCAGTCTTGAATTATGTCACTTGGCTGACTGTGCCATCCCTACAGCCACACCACATTCATATATTGTTGCATTGTGTTAGCATACTTGTTAACATTTTAAAGTGAAACGTGTTGTTGAGTTTTATAGGACCTGTCAGCGTTGCCTTTGGGGCGAATCCTCTGTTAGTCACTGCATGATAGATGATATGGATGACTGTGTGGCTGCAGATAGGACACTCACTTGTTTATGAGGTAGATGTCAGGGCGCCACACCTTGTTGGGAGGAATCCTCAAAACATCAATGTGGTCATATTCCTCTGGGTTCCATGACAACCTGTAGTCTGTCCATGCCTGGCAAGGAAGCGAGGCAGCAAGGAATGGCGGGAGGTAGGAAAGAGCAAAGAAAAAGAAAGTGACTCACAGGCATAGCGGAGCAGACATTACCAGGGTGCCCTGATGTCTCTGTCATTTACATCCTGGTTGCTCCCATCTTTGATAAGTCATTTAAATCCCACTGATCTAGACACACACTCACACACCACTGTGACAAACACTCAGGCCGTCCTAAATTCTAATTAGCGAGGGCGAGGGCCAGAAATGAAAGAGTGAGTCGGAGAATAAGAAAGATAAAGCAAGAAGTAATTTGTGGTTATAAAAAGTGACAAGTCCATTTGAGGGCAGAGCGGCAGAGCAGCAGCGAGAGAAGAGCTAGATCTCAGAGCAGCTATGCGAGGCTCAGTGATGAAGATTAATGTTTTCATGCTCATACCAGATTCATGAACACATTGGTTGTCATCTCTTCGTTCTTCTCATTCTGCAGCGGGATGGAGGGACACAGAGAGAGAGAGAGAGATGACAATGCAGCATCCAGCCAATGGTGCCAATGTTGTAGATGTGATTGGACCGGTGAAAGCTAGCACTGCATTTTCAACAACTCGATACAAAAATGACTTGATTAATTCATAACGATGTATTTGCGTGTACTGCATGTGCTTCTATGGTGCATGTGTGTGTTTGTATTTACCAAGCTCACAAGCTGGGAGAGGGTCATGCCCACTCTAACCATCACCTTCTCCTCCCAGTAACGAGCTGGTCTGACTTTCATGTTGTAGTTCTCAAACAGCTTCTGATGGAGCCTTCGCTCTGTTTCTGAGGCTCCTGCAAAGAGATGGTGATGAGATGGAAAAAACATGGATAAAGAGACATCACCGCCTACAAAAAAGGAACATTAGAAAATGGTGTTGTGGACAAAAAATGAGGAGCTGCGAAGAAATAGGAACAAAAACAAGAAATGATCAAAGTAAGGGAAGTCATATTTTTCCAATCCAATATAAGTGATATGTGAAAATGACATGTGCATTTATGATGTGAGGTTTTCCCATGTGAAATGGTGTTTCACGTGCTATAAACATGCTTACCGGTAATTCACATGTTGGTTCCCAAGACTTCTTAATTTTGACATTAGAATGTACATATAATGATAGAGGCGACAGTTGACTCAGAAATCCATTGCATGAGTGCTGACAAGGACCAGAAGGAGCACAGGAGTACATGGCTTTGCAGTCTGCTTGTCTGAAATTATGCTTCAAATGTTTTAAGGCCCTTATTCTATACTTGATCATAAATTTTCTCTTTAAAGGTGGGGTAAGTGATTCTAATCCAATACACATCTGTGTGTCAAATTCAGCAATGGCCCGCTAGCTGCCCGTTCTGTGTGTGTGAGGTGAAAAAATCAGGTGTTTGAACTGTAAATGGGAAACAAACAGGGAGGCTGAGACCACACAACACTATTCCAGCCATGATTTGTGTGTTAGGTACTGTTAAGTGACTTCAGCTTACTTTCAATTCAATTCAATTCAAATTAGCTTTATTGGCATGAATGTGTAACACTTTCTAGTTTGCCTAGTAATGTTGTTGTGACGTAGCAATTGTAGCAGGAGAGTTGTGAGTATCACTGTCTGGAGCCCATATTTTATTGTTTTATTGTCTTATTCATTTCTTATTTTATGATTCTTCTCCATTTTAATCCAACAACTCTATAAAGTGCAATAATCTCCTATTCTTTTGTACATCTTTCAATTGTTTTAGTATTACTGCACAAATAAAGTTTGATTGATTGATGAAGAATACACAAAAAGTAAGAGAATGAAAGTAGAACAAAAGCAGGGCTAAAATAAGAGCAAATCAAAGCAACAGTTAATGGAAAAGGCCAAAGCTGTTCAAATGAGAGTGAGCAGTACAACATAACCAAAGCACATGACACATGCCACTGACCCCCAGAGCCCGCAGCATGTTTGTTTCTCTTTGGGTCGGTGAGTCAGGCCTACAGTGGTTAGGGGTTCCAATTCCACAATTCCCAAATATGTGACAAAACAACACATTGAAAAGAAGAGAAGGACAGACAGGACATGCAAAAGAAGCAGTGAGCGGGGCAGGTGCTGCACGATGGGTAGCAAAGGTGACTGAGCTAATGTAATTGATATGTGGCAAGGGAATGGGATCAAAGGGATGTCTGGGATACCAGCTCCATCAGTGACAAAAATAGACTCTGATTAACAAACAATGATGTGCTAATATGATTCATTATATGTTCCAGAGCAGGACAGTCTTTTTTGCTTTTCAAGTGAAACAACATAAACATCTTTGACAGGACATAAGATAAGGATTTATTTCCATTTGGTATATCGCCTTCTATGTCTCCTTCTTCTTCTCTCTCTGCCGCCTTGTTTTTGGGTCTTCTCTTCAGGGACATACAGTTTTAACATCGCTCTAGCTGTGGGACTTACAGAGGGACAGGAACAATTCACCCTTGTGGAGGTCACCAACCAGTTCAGGGCAGCATTTGGCTTTCTACTCCCATTGGGGTCAGAAGGTCAAAGTCAAAGCCCTTCAGCTGAGCTCAGATAAGAACTAGTCATTGCAAATTGATTCTTATTATGATTTTATCCCCAAAAAAACCAGAGGAAGTATAATCAATACCAATTTAACTGAAATGACAGCGTGCAGTGAGATCAGAGATGTTTGTCTAGTATCAGATAATACTGTAGCTACCCTGAATGCAGCAAAAATGCCTCAGTTTTTGAGTGGAGGATTGCAAGTGGAGGTGAATTCTTGTCTTGGCAGCCAAACAGGAAAAAGGTAGTAGAATTAGGACAGACAGAGGAATGGGAACACCACAGGTCGCCAACAAGGACAGGGCAACTGTTTGTTTTCCAAGCACAGTATGGGGTTAAATGTCAAAGTCATAAATTATATAATTCAACATGTACATGAATAAACGTTAATTGAAATGCACATAAGCAAGTGAGTTAAACAATCATTGAGCTAGTATAGATGTTAGTTTGAGATACGTTTTATCAAATTCATATAGAAGAAATAATAAAATCAGCTGATGTACAAGTGAAATAAAATCATTCAATCATTTGCACAACTGGAACAAGCATTTTCTAAAATGTCCTTACCAGTAAAAGTGAGACAAAGGCAGCTGCATACGATGAGAAATGCGTACATCCTTATCTTCATTTGTCCAATCATGACAGTCATGACATCTTATGTTTTTATGTGCAAATCAAGGGCCCCGCTCTCCGCTGTACAGGCGCTTTGACCCCTCTGTACCCTCACCTGGAATCTAGATGGAGCGTTCTAAGAAGCGACACCGTTCTAGCTTAGGCATTTAGATGCACACCTTCAGCTGAGTTGCACCTTCAGCCGCACACACACTGTTCCTCTAGCGTCTTTCTCTCAGGTCCCTTCGTCTCTTTGTGGCCATGGCTCCATGGGTGAAACCACGGCCTGATTGGGTGCGCGTGCTGGGGGGTGACGAGAGGGCGGAATGTGTTTGTACTGGGAAGGCTGTGGGGCAGGCACCTGTTGGTGCTCACCAATCTGAGGTTAGCACTATGGGGACGGTGGGTGGGTGGAAGAGGAAGTGGAGGGGGTGGGATGGGGTACAGGAATGGCAATGGGCTATGGGTTATGACAATGGAGATATTTTTGGGGGGAGAACAAGTGGGCGGAGAGGAGCGTGGAGTTGATTGGGACAATAACTTTCTCTGTGGACAAAGAATGACTGGTGTTTAATAGGAGGCATCTCTTGCTCATTGACCACTTCTTCCTTCCTGCTAAATCAAATCTCCACTACCTCTGCCATTAAAACCACTATGTGTATAATTTTAAGATCCGCAACTTCCCAATTGGTCCCACCCAGTGGTAGAATAAAAAAAACAAAACACTGTGGCATAGAGAGGAATGTCCCAAGGATTCAACCATCCTGAGAGCAGCACATTGACTGGACCAACGTTTGCTGCGATTGTTTCATTTTTCTACAAACAAAAGTATCATATAATCATGGCACATATGTGGTGCTGAGCCATTTAAGTTTTGATTATCATCTTTTACATCTCTGTCATTTATACTGCATCCTACATTCAAAATAGGGGACGGAAGAGGAGATGCACCAGGTACCTTAGCAATAATTTTAAAATCCTTTTATTCTCAGAAAACTAGACTGGTAAAAATATTTTTCAACTAAATAAGATGTTTGAAATACTTTTATCCAGATTTGACTGACACATTTATTGTACATTTTTTACTGTGACTGAAAGTATCAGTCCCATCCAGTTATGCACATAAGGTTCCACCTTATTTTGTATGTTTTATTAAAAATTATGATGTAATTTTCACTTGAATAACTTTCTGTGTATTCATTCCATTTGCTCTTAGTAAATGTTTAAAAAAAACATTGTGTTTTGGACCTATACTTAGTTCCATTAAATCACTTTTTATGCCGTTGATGCAAGGTTTGGGGGAAAAGTTAACTTTTTCACTTAAAAAAAAAAGTTAACTTTTTCATTTGTTTAAAAGCAAAAACAGACAAATCAATTATATTACTTTTTGATTTAAGTAAGAGGAAATTTGGTTAAGATAAATCCTGCATAACTTTAGTAACAGTAGATCAGAGATCAGATCCACAATCCTGACATTATTTTAGTGATATCAGAGCAGTCACGGCAAGTAAAATAAAGAGAGAGATAAAGAAATTGCAGTTAGAACAGAAAAGACCCTTTTCAGCAAAGCAATGCTGAAGTGGTGTGGTTTTATGTCTCTAAGCCATAAAAGCTAATGTATGCGTGGGAATTAAAATGAGTGATGCTGAAAAGACTGTGCACCACAGATGCTGTGGAGTAAAAAGGAGTCGAGAATGGCTTCTTGACAGGAGCAGTGAGGCGTTAATCAATAGTGATGGAGAGTCATGAGTTTGAGCAGAGAAAGTGACACTCAGTCTTGTTGGTATTGAGTTTGAGATGAGCTTGAGGCAAGAAAAGATAAGCATGTTGGAAGAGCTATAAAAATAGAGATGGATGTTGTTGCAATAGAAATGGTGAGGGGATATCTGAGACATGAAGACTACAAGTGTTTTGATCGACGAGGTGAAGGCCTTGGGATGAACTCTGGATCTGGCTGCTTCTTGGATCCTTCATGGTGCTTTTTATGAAGTTGATGTCAGCAAAGAACAAATAACAAAAACACAAACAGGCCTTTCGCCGATGTCAGCTGGGATTGGCTCCAGCCCGCCGCGACCCTGTACGCAGGATAAGCAGTTGACGATGGATGGATGGACGGACAGGCCATAAATCAGACCCAGTTTGAGAGTTGAGAGGGAAAATGTCTGTGACTTGCCCTCCTGCATACAGCCACTCCCAGTATAAACACATCAGTCAGAATGGCCCGTGTGATATGGCGTGTCTGTCGAACAGATTGTCTTCTCAGCGCTTCAGTCTCATGCAAGGTTACATACTGCAGTGAACTGAGGATGAAAATGGGTGCAACGGAGAGGTGTGTGCTGCAGCTAGGTCTATAATACTGATGCGCTCTCAGCACCATCGCCACAATGAGCTTGAGAATGAGTGCAGACTGTCAGGCTTCAAATGCTTCAGCTCACACTGCATATGCATGAGTGTATTTACACACTTAGAAATATCAGGGAAGCCCATGCAGCGGTGTCTGGTAACCAGTGCCAGTGTGTGTGTGTCTATGATTATTATTAATAGCAGAGCCGGCAGGTGACGGAGCAAGGATCGCAATTCTCACAGCAGCATTCTGACAACAGATGGAGCCTTTGATATTCTCCCCTCAGATCTTTATTTAAAAAAAAACAAAAAACAGAACAAAATGAAAGCACAGGATTGAAAGAGCAGGTGTGTGTTTGTGTCATGTGAGAGAATCAAAAAGGATGTGTGGTGTGTGTGCGTGTTTGGCTGTGAGAAAGCGAGACTTTAAAGAGGCACAGGTCTCACATATAATGGGAATTCCGCAGCTGGTGAACTGAGCTGGCATGCAGCTCCGCACTCCAACACAAGAATAGCCTCCATGCAAAACCAGTGCTGAAAATACAAAGAGGATTACCATGGTTGCATAAATATACACGAGGCATGTGCCACACTCCAGCATTTTTGGACACAGGGAAATGAATGGCATACGGTTTGCTCATTATGACATCTGGTTTGTCTTAATGTTTATGTGTGAACACAATATATGAATATCCATCGTTGGATCCACACTCTTCAGACCTAGAGATCTGCTGTAGCTGATACACTAGAAAACACACCAATAGCTTAGATTTAAGTATTTATACATATTTCAGGTATGCTGACATTGCCTTGGTTGGTATATTCCATGCAATTAACTCTCCTTATCTCCTTAAACACATGATGCAGTTCTGCCCTGTTAAAATCTATGTCAAGCATGTCATTTTCATGTGATTAAGGTAATAAATTTGAGGCTGAGTAGTTCTTGAGTAATGTTGCTCATTCGGCTGAGAAACCTCAAGATGTTCATTCATTTGCATTTTACTTGCAAACAGCGGATAAATACAGACAAAACCTTGCAGGAATTCTTGACAGCATACAAATAAGCATGTCAATCTCTAGGAGTAGTAAGGTAGAAGAAAGATACACGTCCTCTTGATCATGCTTAATGTCCAAAAATGTGCCTGGTTCATCACATTTTGTCAGCTTTGCTCTTGAAGCAGTGGTGACAGCCAAGGGTCAAGAATTGGTTGCAAAGAACCTATGCTTTGTTGGGTCTCAGTCTGAGACTCAAGGGTTTAAAATCCCTGTCTTTTCCTTCCACATGGCCAAAAATCAAAGTCTTGTATTAGAAATTATAGTCTGACACGATAATGGAATATTGTCAAGATGTATTTGAACATCTGATACTGTCTACACTAAAGGCAAATGAATAAGAGCAACATCTTAAGGTCATTTGGGGTTTGCCAGCCAGAAAAAGTAAAGTAAATTGGCAGAGCTTTCCACAAGACAACAGTGTAAAACACGTGAGGTGCAGTGGATAAGTTTCTTAGAGTTTCTTAATTGTTGGCACATTGGGCCGAAGGTGAACTACACCAATACGATAGAATCATTTAGCCGTTTAACAGTGAGTGATTTCTTCATCCCTATTTGCAGAGGAGCTCAGGAAAACCTAATGCCCCACTGCTTCAGGGGGATTTGAAGGGGTCAGTGGGTGTGTGGTTAAAGCTGGCATCGGCGAAGATGGCTAAGGTGCCCACGGTGGTGAAGACGACGAAGATCCAGAGGAACATGCGGTCCACCACCATGGCCACGTACTGCCAGTCCTCTTTCAGCTGGACGAGGATGGATGGATGAAAGGGAGGACAAATTAAACAGAATGGGAGAGAAAGGAGGAAAAGAAAGAGAGTAGCGGTGGGAGGATGGGAAAAGGCAGAGAGGGATAAATAGAAAAGTTCATAAACCAAATAATAGAACCAAGGAACACAAATTACCTTTAAAAAAGGAACATAGGAGTGAGGAAGAAAAAGATGGTAACAAACTTACCGCTTCGTAGTCCTTCTCAGCTTGCAAAGCCTCGGCGATATAAGTGATGGCATCTATGGCTGACTTGAGCTCGTCAGGTAGTGTGAGGTAGCTACTGGGGCCGTCAATAAACTTTCTCAGATCTGTACACATGCCCTCTGGCTGAAACCTGCATGGCAACACGCACAAGCACATTCATGTCACAGGATAACATCCATAATGCACCACATTTGATATCACAAATAAATCTCAGCATTGATTCAGCGACAACAGAGTGCGCACACAGTGTCAGCACACGCACACCAGCCTTCAGAATACAGCAATGTGTGAGCAGATGTCGTTCCAGACTAATTAAAAGCTGTGAAATGGTAAAGCCTTTATGAGACAGGCAGCATGTGTCCTTTGCACTGTTCTGCCAGTCAGAGAGGAATAAAGAGAAGGTCAGAGGAGCTCCCTGTGCTCGCTCTGCCGGTGTGGGAGTCACCGCTCTGCATCTGCTGACTGGGCTGCTCTGGCTGAGAAACCCTCTGCCTGTGTGTGTGTGCACGTTTCTGTGTTTACTTGTTGCCCGCAGTTATCAACCATCAGCTGCTAAAATGTGCCAGCAGTTGCTGGGGAAAGCTGGGAGGAAGTTGCTGTGGGCGTCTCTGTAACTCGCTTAACTCTGCTGTCACTCACAACTTTTCACACGACAGGTCTAACAGTAGGTCACATTTGTTATCACTCTTTATTGAAATCATAACAGAGCTTAGTATTGTATATCACTGAGGTTCCCTGTTTACAGGAATGAAATTATGTTCACAGTCAAAGAGATTTCGGACACTTCATTAAGAAGTTGAGGCATAACAAACGTATATACAAAAGGTTAAAGATTTTCTAACTTCCAAAAAATCTATTATTTTGCAGACCATCCTGACCACAAAAAAGGCTGTTTAGGTAGATTATTATGATCCATATTACAGTTTTTTATTAGGCCGTGACCTCTAGAGGCAGAAGTAGTCAGGGGATGTAGTAGAAACAGCGCCAAAGTCGATGTAAGGAGGGTGGTGGGGTGGATGGATGTGTTAAGTAAACTCAGGACACAGGACCGAGGTTTGAGTCCCTGATGAAAGAAAGTCAAAGTTGTTGAATGTTTTAAGTTAAATACCGTTTTGTAGATGACTTATGTCAGGTGAGTCATGTTACTTACTTCAGGTGACTCGTGTAATGTACTATAATGTAACCCAAACCACAATCTTTTCCTAAACCTAACCAAACTACAACCATATCACAACATTTACCATGTGTTAAATGTCATGTGATTTAGGTCACGTGACTTACGTATCATACTTATCCGATGTGCCTGTCACTGGACTGGTACTTGTCAACTTTGAAAATGGTCTAATATGTCATTTCAGGACACTTATTATTATTAGTACTTTAGTTATGATGACATGTATTTTCAGCTATTGCACTTGGGTGCCAAAGTACAGCATTACCGAGTGCAGCTTTAACTAATGTTTATAGGTCCTTGTGTTCCTGTGTTATCTAGTCTCGCTTTAACACACAGCTACGGAAGAAACACAAAGCATTACTCATTAACCTTTTCTGCTGTGCTTTTCCCTGCTGCATTTCTTTGCATAATCATATAGAGTGTCCCTGAGCAGTGACACATGGCTTTCCGTTTTTCTACCTCCAGTACAGCATCAGACACAGAGTTCTATTAAGTAGTGATACAGCACGGCTGTCTCTGCAGGACGTCACAGCTGAAATGCCTGCGAAATAAAAAGATAATTCTGGCTTGTTTGGTGTTTCTATCAGTTATGATAACACTGTGCCCAACAAAGTCGAGGGGGAGATCTGATAACACAGCAACATCGCTAAAACTAATGGTCTAATGTCTGTTTTTGGTGGGGGGTGGTGCATTGTGGGCAAGTGCAGTAAGATGAACTAGAAAGTTTGTTGCTTGGTGTTCAACTGTGGCATATGTTTGTCATTTCTGGGCATATTACATAAAAAAAGGAGTAGAAATACACAAACAAATAGTTCTCACTTGCACAAACAAAATACATTTAGCTGTGAGGCATTGCACTGTCGTGACCTTGTCCAAACAAAGATACCTCTGACAAATGAATGTTATTGTCCTTGCAGAACAGCTGTGCTGTGCCTTTTACAAACATCTGTTTTCTTATGAAACACCTCAAATATTAAACACCTCCTTCACTTACACTTTCTAGATTCTAAGAAAAAACTAACCCCAGATTAGATGAGTTGCAGGTCAGGCATCTCACCACCAGAGGACTGTATGGCACTGTGTCTTTCACTGGGAAACATTCAAATGGAGTTTAACCTGGCAGTCAGGGCAGAGCACACAGCTGCTTGGTATTCAGTGCAGCAGTTTGGGAGTTTACAATGCAGCGCTGCCGTTGCTGCTGCTCTTGTGAGTGTGGCAGGTGAAGAGGCTGTGACCTTAGAAAGGCGGAGCCTCTTTAGATAAAGAGCGAGATAAGAGAGGGAGGTAGAGAGAGAAGAGAGGGACGGAACTTGGCCTCTTAACCCTTTCTTCCTTTCCCCTCATACGTGGCTCAAAGTAGCACTACATCAGCGAGAAGTAAATGACTATTCAGGAGACTAATTCAGCTAAAACTGCCTTCCGTCTGGTGCCAAGACATGCACTAAACCCAATTAAGAAGGCGTGCGTGAGTGTGTGTGTATGTGTGGGCTCAAGAGAGATACTGCTGTCTCATCAAATTGCTTTAATAGAGTGCCCCCACACACACACACACACACCTTTTTCTGTCACCCGTTCTTTCACCTAGACACGCAGCACCCCGCTCTAATGTGTCAGAGTCGATTTGTGCGGGTCATTATTATTTTAGCAACGACTCTCCGGTCTCTCCCTCTAGACATATTTCATTTCTCACAGGAGGTGAATGATAGAGAGGGAGGGATAGCTACAGACTCTGAGGAAGATTTTTGATGTGTATTAAAAAAGCAGCAGGCAGCCTGGCTAGTTAAGTAAGTCACATAGTATTTGATTCTCAGGATGGATTCTACCCAATTTGTCTGATCAAGGTCACCCTTTTCCTGTGTGCAAAGTATAGACACTAGGGTTAGACTCATATCATGTTTTCTCGCCAGCTTGTGTGCCAACAGTGGCCCAAATCCAGCTCCTTATTCAACAGCTTCAGGGGCAGCACTCTGTAAAACTGTTCATTCAAAGATGAAAATCATCAGTCTGGGTTCACTGGAGGTCAAAATGCCTTTTTAGAGGCTGTTCCAACTTAACATAAACAGCTTTGTTTGGTAGTGTTAAACACAATTTTAAATATCGCCAGTTTCTATCTCTCAGTCCAGTGTCAAACACCTCTCACAGCCTAAACCAATAGTCATCCAGTTTTTAGTTCTTAAACAATGTTTCAGAGTCTATAGTGCAGACTGAAACAAAGCAATAAGCCACCTGGAATGTATGGCCGTATCTAGACAAGATAAGATTCATATTTGAAGTAACTGCTATGCCAGTAAAGTGTATTCATGTAGAATGAGAGTTGGATTTTATAGGACAAATGAAAGCTGTGGAGAAACAGGAAATGCCGGCCAACTGACTACACAAATAACCTGCTACACAGACCTGAAACTATATGAACACTAAACTCAGGGGATTATGTGCAAATGTATTTTAATTTTTTTTTATTGTGATATCCAACACATTTTGGCAGCTAATGTTTTTTAAATTACTTCTACTGCACAACATACATTTTTAAACAGTGTCAGATATGGATTATGTATTACAAGTATTTAAAGGCTCCTCCAGTCTGCATATTGAAGTGTCCTTGAGCAGGATACTGAACCCCAAATTTCTCCTGATGGCTGTGCCATATGTGAACGCATTAGTTTATGTTTGATGATGAGCAGTTGTCACCTTGCAAAGCAGCCACTGACATCAGTGGATGAATGTGTGTGAATGGGGGGAATGTGACCAACGCGTTCTCATCTCAGTGCATCATTACCGATGCTCTCAGACAGCGTGACAAAGCGTAATTATTTGACACTAAAGGTACCCTCCGGCATCCGTATGAAACGCCACCGTTTGCTACATCGCAGCAACACAAAAGAGGTTAACAAAGGAGGCTGTGCATAAAGTCAGTGACTTAGGTTTAGGCACTAACATTTCTGAGGGTTATAACAGGGGGCTTCGGGGGGCTGTCAACACCTTTAATACGAACATAGCTAGCTAGTAAGCTAGCTAGCACTCCTGGTCTATACGAGACACCCCAGAGCGTATCATACAGATGCATCCGGAGCATCTCCCACAGATTACACTTTTTCTGAAAGCGTCGGTATTGACCGCCCTGAGATGAGAACGGCCTGATGTGACATGTAGTGTAAAGTACTCGAAGACTAGATAGGCGCTTACGTGTAGTGCTGGCGCATAGGCCACAGGTCATACAGTATCTTTGTAAAAAGAAAAAGAATGGATCCTGACATTTTAGAAGTATTTCATAAATTACAATACTTCTTAGAAATTTGCCAGTTCATATTGATACACACATATATATATATATATCTATCTGTTATGTGTTATCATATAAAGGTAGTTTTTGTAGTAATATATGGTAAACATATTTAATGTTGTGACAACAGGCTATAAGATAAACAAGCGATAACCTGAATAGTGCGGCCACTTGTTTTAAGAATACCATAATACAGTTGACAACAGCTATTTAATAAAAAACCTTTAATAAGCACAATAATAAGCACAAATAAAATGTCATGCTTGTTATATGGGTCTTGGTAAACATGTAAGTAACTGTCAACATGTACTTACTAAAAGGTCAATATAGAGTTGAGTAATTCTAAATATTTAATTCGTTCTTCTAAAGAGTTCAGACACAAAGCTTCCTGTTATTCAAGCAAATTTGAGAGCAGGACTGTTTGTGCAGTGTGTTTATTTGCCCTAAAACAATTACCTGTACTGTACAGGTAATGTGTGTGGAAACATTTTGAACACCAGGCGAATTTGCATATAGTGCACAAAAGTATTCATATGCACGCAGGCAAAAATCCATACCCAAACGCAATCACATGCACAAACATTAATACATAAACCTATGTAATGACCCTGGACCCCAGAGTAGATCTTCTCACCTGTTGAGCTTGGGGAACAAGATGGAGGAGTCGGGCTTGCGGATGAAGTATTCATCAGCCACTTTGCTGATGGCCATCATTTTTTTCTCTCGGCGGGGCATGGTCTCCAGGGACAGGGGGGTCTCTACTTTTGGCCGCAGCATGCCCAGGTAAGGAGGCAGCATGTGGATGAATATCTAGGAGAAAAGGAAAAATGAAAAGCAGTAGAATATACGGAAGAGAACAAGAGAACATACGGAAAAATCTGTTTTAGTTTCTTCAAGTTCCATTTTCTGTTTGAGAGCTTAAAACTGGAAATCACAAATGTTAAAATACGCATTCATGAATATTTATTTGACTCAAAACCACATTAAGAAAGAGAAGGTTATGCTTTCCACTTTCAGTCAAAAGCTTGTTGGCTCTCCCAGACCTCCAAAATCCATCATCTATCCTGGTAATAAAAAAAAAAGCATTTGTTTTGATTCCTGTTCCATGATTTATGGGACAATTGAAATGTACTTGGTCTGTATTTGCCTATTAAGGCTGAGAAATGAGTCAAAATGTTGAATTTAGCAGTGAGATAACCTTTGAGAACAGTTGCTGCTGAATGATGTGGGTGGGGAAACCAAATCGGTAATGCTTTCCAATTCCTCAGTGTCTACTCTCAAGGTTACCTTGAGCAAAGAACATAAACTCTGGATTCTCCAGTGGAGCCCTTGAGTAAAAGATTACAGTATATATGTGTGGTATTAAAATAGAAATAAATGTTTGCAAGAAATCAAGTACATTTTCTTTTTATATAACCACCAGTGGGTACTCCTTGGCTGTCAGACTTAGAAATGAGATTCAAAAGAATACCAGAGGAATTTGGCTTCAAGATAAAAGATCAAATCACTTGGCCAACCGTTAGTCTTTATCAATATCATAATGCTGTTTGCCTCTGTAAATGGCTCTTTTATCCTCACTTTGAAGTGCTTGGATATAATTCTTTTGAAATTGCTCCTGGCTTGCCTGTATTGACAGATGGATGTCAATAATGCTCCACTGGCAAGGATCATACTGTAGTACTGTAGCTACAATAGAGAATGTCATGTGAGGTGAAGAAGCTTGAGTAGTTTTTTAGTTTATAAAAAAAATGGTTGATCTAGTCTTCATTCAGAATCAAATATATCCATGTTCGTATGTAACCTTCTCTGGCATTTGTATTTATTCTCCTGTTTCCCAGTACACTCCAATATGTCATGTTTTCCCATTGACTGTTTGCGGCAATAAAAAAGTAGCCAAACTGGCCAAACTTACTAAAGCAGCATTTCACAGCTTCAGCTCCTGGACTGAACCTGTCCTGGAACTAAACGTCCAGATAGACTCTGCCAGTGAAGGAGAGCTCACATAAGCCATGTTTCCATCTAATTGTCATGTGAATTTTATGTGTACTTTTGAAATGTTGCAAAAAAGAAATAAAAAAGAAATTGCAAAGTATGTGCATTTCCGTTATCTGGTTTGGAGCCAATAAACCAGGCTACGACAATTGTAGTTATGTCAGTAGTTGACGTTACACATGGCTGTAATAAACAAGACGTAGCTTCTTTTTTATGGGTTCCAAACCAGAAACAAAACCAGTCGCATGAACCAGATAGCTATTGATCTTAGAAAAATGGAGAGAGGTCCTCAGAAATGTGTTTCAAGTGGGCAAGTTACTACCAGCCATGTCTCCACACGAAGTAGCATTCATTGAGATTGAGCAAAAATATGTGGTGAAAACCCCGTTTGATCTGTGTGCAGAGCAAAGTATCTGTAAAGGACCTTTAAGAGGTGAATGCATAATTCGACAGTTTGATCCGTTTATTGCAATTAAATCACAGCAAAATGTTTACTTTGGGATCAGACAGCTGTAGTAATGGCAGGTTGTGTTTACTCGCGTTATGGCGTTGTGTGGGAATACTTTTCAGATGTCCAGTGATAAAACCCCTGTGAGCAAAGCGCTGCGAGGATTAAATTTGTGTTTGGTCTGAATGCTAGATAAGAGTGAAGATATCGCCAGCCTATTAAATGTAGAGTTCCAAATCATTCAAGCTACTAGCTACTGGGGATGATTTTTTTTTAGATTTGGTATAGTTTAGTATATTATAAGACTAAATTAGGTAATTGGCTACCCATTTTGTCTTGACCCGAGGTGAATTTACAGTAACACAAGTGAAATTATCCATCTATCCATCCATCGTCAACCGCTTATCCTGCGTACAGGGTCGGGGGGGGCTGGAGCCAATCCCAGCTGACATCGGGCAATAGGCGAGGTACACCCTGGACAGGTCGCCAGTCCATCGCAGGGCCACACATAGACGAACAACCACTCACGCTCACACTCACACCTAAGGACAATTTAGGGTCACCAATTAACCTAGTCCGCATGTCTTTGGACGGTGGGAGGAAGCCGGAACACCCACAGTGGTAACCACTGCACCACCATGCCGATGTCATTATTATTTCATTTAACTATTGATGCAATTTACACCCTAATTTCCAACAGTTCTCATTGATTTCTGTATTGCTTTACTTAGTAAAGATGAGTGCGCAGTAGTCTCTAATTTCCCAATGCTGAGTTAGCCTGAATCTTATTTCATCCATTTTATTTTCCTGCGACCGAACATTAGCCAGGAGGAGGCTAGGTAGTGGTTTAGCCGTAGGCCCAGGTTAGATTAGCTCTTATCCCCTGTCGCTTTCCTCTTTTCCTGGATAAATCTCACAACTTGTGGTGACATTTGGTCTGGCTAGTCTGGTTGCCTGGACGCGAGATGCCATGGGCAGTGATCCATTGAACTTAATCCTATCCCTGCACTTCTTTCTCCTGAAGTTGATGATGTTTCTATCATAAGTAATCATAATTATTCTCCACAGCCGAGGGGAACTGCAAACTTATCATAATTCTCTGTGAGTTCATTCCTGGAAGGGACCCCTTTAACATTCCTCATCGTCATTGATCCACTGCTCTATAAATATTGATTGGTGCAGCTCAGTTAAGATATTTTCATACCTTAACATCTAATTTCCCACAATTAATGTTCTATCCACAAATCTTTCCTTTTCACATTCCATGACCATCTGATCGTCTGAAGAGCAGAAGTGAAAATGAAGCAGAACCTATAGTGTTGTTTTCTCCCATCAATCCAGTAGCAAGCAGCTTAGTTCCTTAAAACCATACAAATAACCTGTGTGTGAGCCTTTCTAAGGCAAATGTTTCCTGAAAGCGTAACAGAACTTGGAGCAAAGTAAAGCGCTGCTGCTCAGTCCTGTAATTAGTTTTACATAATGTACAGTTGATGGAGGTTAATGGTATAACATGACGTTCAGGGTGTTGAGGACTGTGTCGACTTAATCCAATAGTCTGCCTGAAACTAAACTACTGTTGCCCCCTTCACTAAATATCACAAAAATTATCATTACAGTCATTACTTATTTCAAGGCCACAATTTACTCCATGGAGGCGTTGCTTTGTCGCATAATGCATGTTGAGCGTCAATGTATTAATTTATGTGTAAGTGAATTCATTTTCATCCCGTGCACATTATCATGATTTGTGCTCATTAACAGGTGCCCACAAGGTAATACAATGTGTACGTGGTTGTAAAGCTTTTGCATTGGATTTTACTCATTTGGTACAATTAGTTGGATTACCTTGATTTTATCCATTTTTTAAAATTAATATATTAATTAGTTATTGACCAGCCTTGTAGTTAAATAAATATAAAACTACATAATCAAAGATTTTATGTTTACTACAAAGAGTTTATGCTCTCTTAGTAGAAAGGAGGGATGTACCAAAGTCTCAGAAACTTACTTTCTAATTAATATGTCACGTGATTTGATTTTGATATGTATTTGTTTCATATGTGAGCAGATCACATGAAGGAATAATTATTTATTGCGTTGCATCCTAATCTTCCCCAGTCCGTCCCCTGCGTCCTTCTCAGACGACATGCTAAGAAAGACTGGTTTTCTGATGACATCACTTTGACATCACTCACCATACCCCTCTTTGATGCAGACTGCTAAGAAAATGAAAGCATTGAAATTGAAGATTTTGCCTTCATCTTTGTGAGCTGGTATCCTGCTAAAGCCCAACTTTGTGCTATTTTTGCAGAGCCCAGGAACACAAAAACATCAATTCAGTTAAATATGTAGAATCATGTCAAACTATTTCATTCGTTCGTCCACAAGTTTGATTTGTAAAGTAAAGCCGTAACCAGACTAGGTGATATTTCACACTTTAGCCCATGGCTAAAGATGGAGGCAGGGACCTCACCTTGCGCACCCACATGGGCATCAGGTGGGTGTTGGGTGAGCGGTGGTGCAGGTTGAGGACGACCACACTGAGAATGACAGAAAACGTGACCAGGATCATGGTGAACATGATGTAGTTGACAATGATGGGGACACCCAGTGAAGTCTCCGGGATCTTATCAGCCAGCAGCAGCAGGAACACAGTGAGGGTGAGCAACACGTTGATGGACAGCCCCATCTTCTCGCCTGGTAGGAGAAAAAAATGTTTACAACGTACCTAAAAGTGTGGAGAAGATCTTATGTAGCCATAGGAGCACCATGCAGTTTACCACCAATGGCTAATCTGTTTTCACACTGATTCTACTTTTGTATCAGTTCATTTTCATTGAAGTTGGTGTTTGATAATTACTTTTGTTGAGGAATGTAACAATTACAGTGTGTTCCTGTTCTGTGTTATATTTTATCTAGTTTTATCAGGACAAGGTTTGTTCCTCCTGAGGTATATCTACTATTTTAGCAGCAGCTGATCCATGCAATTCACCAGTAATGACTCTAATGAAAAATTCATCTTCCATTCAAAGTGAAGCTGTTTTGCCAATAGAGCATGACCTCCCAGGTGTATTCAGTGGTCACAAACTGTGTTTACCTAATATTGGTTAGAGTTGCTGGGTAATGAAATTGATGTGCATTAGGGCAGTGCTTGCTCCCACGGTGAGCAGCTGTCAAACCACAGACATTTTACTTCATCACACTGCATCACCTCAAAGGTCAGCATTTCTGTAGTGCACAGAAGTACAGTGCAATGAAATATTTATTTACAGCAAAAATGTTGTTGAAAATCTTTCACGAATTACCACTGTAATGTCCTTGACTTGTCCCTGTGTCTGGTGGGAGGGGTACACTACATGTCTGCAGATTGTGCAGGTGCACAGACCTTGTGGGAGTCACACAAGCAGAGGGTGAAAGACAAAAAAAAATACTAGAGCAGGAAAAGGAGAAACCTGTATACACATACATTCCACCTTCAGGGCCATAGCAAAGATTTTAGCAATGCTAAGACCGTGTGTCCAAATTCCCCCAGAGCTACTCCACCTGCCTGGAAAAAGTGTTTGAAAAGCCAACAAAAAGTCTGTAAAAAGATGGTTTCCCCACATTCTATCTCTCTTTTTTCCTTTTGATCTTATATCTATCTTCCCATATGATGATATACATGTTGTTTCAGAACATTTTTTTTTTTTTTTTTTTTTTTTTTTTTTTTTTTTTTTTTTTTTTTCATTTATTTAACAGTCAGACATATACAAACCAACATAGTGCAGTAGTGAGCAATCTTGTAAATCCATAATTCCAGAAGTGACATAAAAGTGATTTAAGTGTTTGATCTAAGTGTACATGTGAACAGGTGTGAGTATATATATGTGTATGTGTATGTGTATGTGTGTGTATGCGTAAACAAAGTTACCATTTATTATTTATTACCAATTTTATTACCATCTCCGCCCCACTACCACCATATTGCCAGTATTGTGTTTGTTGATTTTTATTTCCATCCTTCCTCCTATGTACCAATTGCCATTATCAATCCTGCATAAAATAAAAGATGATAAAATAAGATAATGTAAGATACCTTTCCCCCACATCTCTTCAGTCCCTATCTTTTCATTTTTTTTTTTTTTTTTTGTGTGTTATGTGTAATGTCTAAGGTGCATTAAAAGAGAGAGTACAGTGCGATAGTGTCTCAAATTGGGACAGAGATGCTGTCCCATTGAAACCACTTCTCGCCTGTCTTGCCTGCCTTGGTGTTTGTGTGGTTTTCCATATATACATTTTTTTTTTTTTTTTTTTTTTTTTTTCTTTTTTTTTTTTTTTTCCCTCCCTATTCTATGTTGTGGTGCATTAAAAACCCGTGAAGAGATAAGGGGGGAATTATTGCAGTAGTGATGATAATGACACTTAATTCCAATACAGCATTGACAACGGCAATATTGATGATTATAATAATAATGGTAATAATGATATTAATAATAAATGACAATGATGATGATGGTGGTGACCGCAATGGTGAAAGCAAAAGACAGCAACATCAGCAATTACAACAATGAAAAAATAAAAGTGAAAATAGCAACGATAACAATAACAGTAAAGATAGTAATAACAATGATGACATGAACAAGTTCAAACAACTAAATGCATTAATTTTCGTGGGTTGATTAAGAAGGTGGGAGGAGTTGGAGTTGAAAACCGAGAAAGGGTTCACAGCTGTAAGAGGTCAGAAAGTGTTGGGCGGCAGGAGTCAGTTTTAGATGCGTAATTATGAAGGGGAGATGCATATTCCATTGCAATGAAGTCTGTTATAAGATTTTTCCAAATGTTAATGTGTAATTTATTTCTAGTTTTCCAGTTCATGAGGATAGTTTTCTTGGCGATGGTTAGAGCTATGAGGAGTATTTTAGAGTTTATAGTTTTATCAGTGATTATTGTGAGGTCTCCCAGCAAGCAAAGAGAAGGCGACATTGGGATGTGGCAGCCAACTATAGTGGATAGTGACTGTGTGACCTCTTCCCAAAAGTGTTTGATTGGAGTGCAGTGCCAGGTTGCATGGATGTATGTATCTGTAGAATTTTGATTGCAATGTGAGCAAACTTCTGATGTGAAACCCATTTTAGCTAATCTATTGCCCGTGTAATGTGTTCTATGAAGTATTTTGTATTGTATTAACTGAAGATTTGCATTTTTGGACATGAGATGGATGTTTTTACAGATTTGGGTCCAGAAGCTGGCATCAGGAGCTATTGAAAGATCGTTTTCCCATTTTATTGTTGGTAAGTATATGGTCTGAAGTTGGTTTGAAATCATTTTGTATATTTTAGAGAGAAGTTTCTTTGGGGAGGAAATGTTGACCAAGTCTGATATTGCCGCTGGAAGTTCTAAAGTTGTGTCTCTGATGTTTATTTTGTCAGAACAGAAGATTTGATTTGTAGGTATTTTAAGAACATTTTTTTTAATAATTTTTATTTAAATGTATTTATTTATTTCAAGTGCTTAGTATGGAGCAGAAATGAAGAGAATGTGTCAATAATATTAAAATCAGCTTTAAAACTAGTAGAATGTAAACTCCTCATGTCAGTAAAAATCCCAGAAACAATTCCCAATCGGTGTAGGAATGTCCGCTGTATTGTGAGCTAGCATGAGTCCTTCCACATGGCCATGCAGTGTGTGAGTGGTATTATGGGTTTTTATCGGATGCAATGCCAGAATCTAGATTCCCACTCCACAACGAAAAGGCTCAACTGAAGAAAAACAATGACAACCACATCTTTCTCGGAGAGTCTCGTGTGCTATTTTTATATGTTGTTATTATGTGTGGTGTTATGGTCACGGTTAGATCCCCTCATAGGTGAATGTGGAGCTTCCAGCTTTGTGGGCCTCAATTTTAGGCCCATCTCCTCCCCTAGTGCAACTGTGTGGTGAATCTGGGTACCTGCAGCTGACAACAGAGCATCTGACGACATATAAGGGCCAGGGATCTGCACTAATGGGTCATTATCTGCTACATTTTGACCATCACAGGATTCACTGTGAGAGGCGTGCGACCTCTGATATATAGCAATTGTAAGTCCCTTTGAATAAAACCGTCCGCTAAATGAGTAAATGTAAATGTAAATCTATTTGTTCAGGACCAGGATTATGTATCTTTAATTATTTAAAATGTAAATATAAATAATAAATCTCTGGGCCAATTCATTAAGTTCTCTTTCCTCCTCATTTTTGTGCTGTTAATATCTAAGTGTATAGTTCATTGTAGTGTTGTAGTCAAGACCACCCAAACCGAGACCAAGTCAAGACCAAGACCAGAGTTTATCGAGATCGAGACCAAGACTTTTAGGGGCTGAGACCAAGTCGAGACCAAGACCAGTTCCCCGCATTACACGACACTCAATAAAATGTGGAACGAGATCATAGGTACTTCTCAGATTGATCTGAAAGATTCACATTCCAATTAAAACACCCACATACAAACACTTAGAGCTGAAATCAATGTAAGCATCTTTATTCAACACACCTTTTCCACGCTTACCATCGCAGAGAGAGGTGACAGTCGTTAACGGGAACAACACGTTTAATCTGTGTTATTGGTTGCATGTGAAGCAAAAGTTTTACATCCGAACAAAGTTAGGATGTTAACAAATAAATCAGACAATGCAAAAGCAATTTATTAATATTCCCAAAGTTATCGTCTTGACTGGTTAGATCAAAGAGAGACAATCATGATGTGTTATGTGCATGAAATTTAGGCAGCACTGTGACTACCAAAAGTACCATGAATATGTTCATCTGATTATGTTAACTATTTATTTACTGTGCAAAGCAAACAACATGCGGCAGCTCAGTGGTGAACACCTGCAAAATGATAACCCAGTGAATCCATGTAAACAAGTCTATTACAGAAATCATGTTTGAACAATGTGAGTGTTGTGAACAGAGTTTGAAGTCTTAATCTGATTGCTCTCAGTTGTTGCAGGGTGATTTCTACAATTTTAATTTCAAGGTTATTGATTCAGCTGTGCTCCATGGGAAACAGCTATCTAATCTGAAATTGAATCCCTTTGTGCCTGTAATTGGACAAATGTGTGATTACCCAATTTAAACGGACCAAACAACACAACACAATTAGGAAATGGTATTAGGAGTTTTAAAGAGCAACGATAAGGCAGTGTAATCCTAACCAAGGCTACATCAAGGTGGAAAGTGAATGCAACTGACCATCTTTACCTTTAGCTCAAAGTGAACTGCTTTATATGTATTATTGTGTATTGTTGGTGTACCTGCATCAGGAGGCAGGTAGAAGTTAAAGATGGCGATGATGGTGATGAGGATGCAGGGGATGATGATGTTCAAGACGTAGTACAGAGGCTTCCTCTCGATGATCAGGTAGAAGGTCATGTCCTCATACAGATCATCATTCACGTTCTTCCTGCTCGGCTTGTGTCTGATCTGCCACTCGCCCCCCTCTGGAGAAACAATTACATTTTGAGATTACAGATCAGCAAAATGATGGATTTTACAGCACAAACAACAAGCAAAAGTGGAAACACATAAAACCACTGATGTGACTATGGTTCAAATATCAAGCAAAAGCAAGCATAAAATGCTAAATGAGATGAGATGTGCAAACTACATCTTCCTCTAAACTAAACTGAAACTGCTTAAACATGGCGTTGCAATCTAATGAACGACTTTCCCTTCCTTTCTAAAAAAAAAACTTATTCCCATCCCTCCATCCATCCTTTCATGTGTTCCCTGCCAAATTCTCACCACTGTATGATTCGTCCAGTTGGATCTCCCTGATCTCTTTGCCTTTCGAGTCCAGTGTATGCTGGATGTCGATCTCTGTCGAGTCATATGTGTAGGAGCGGAACTGCATGGTGCAGTTCTGCCAGTCAAATGGGAAATATGTCACCTGGACCCAAACAAGAGGGTGTTACAAGAGGGAGATGAGCAGGAGCAAGTTTAGAAGGAAATGAATGGAAAGCGTAATACTTTATGTTTGTGTATGTGTGTGTGTTGATGTTCACCTTAACTCCACAAGAGCTGCAGTAGAGTGCAGGGGGAGTCCAGGTTACTTTGCCATTACTGTAAGCCTGAACATGGACGTGCAGGGCCACATCAAACACCCCATCATTACTGCAAACAGAGATTGAATTCAAAACGTTTTTTTATTTTCTTATACCTGTATGTTACTGTCAGTAGAAGATCGCTTGAAACATCTTAACAGAGTTTATACAATCCTTTCGCCCTGTTAAAGCTTTTTTTTTTTACTTCTTTACATTTACTCATACAAATTTTTTGAATAGTTGTAAATCACTGTCTTACTGTTTAAATCTGACAATACCGTAGCACAGACTCTGCAAATAACTGACTGAAAGACATGTTAGTGGAGGGGTACTGTATGTCAGCGCCACCCAGTACATATTGGACCCGTCACCTTGCAGCAAAAACGTCTGAGGTTGCGGTTCTTTCTGTTCAGAGTTTGCATGATGTCCCTTGTTGTTGCCTGCAATTTCTCCCCACATAACAAACCCCTGCAGATTTCGGGTATAAAATAATTACAGTGTTTGACCTGCTCATGGAGTATTACTACCTTCCACCAAGTCCATGCTGGAAAAGGCTCTCGATAAGAGAGATGAACAAAGATGAACTTATGGGAACTCTTTATGGGAACTTTTGACCAGTTGGGGTCCATTTTCAAAAGAACAATATTTCCTTTCCCCTGCGATGGACTGGCGACCTGTGCAGGGTGTACCCCGCCTTTCACCCTATGTCAGCTGGGATTGGCTCCAGCCAGACCCTGTACACAGGATAAGTGGTTGACGATGGATGGATGGATGGATGGATGGATGGATGGATGGATGGATGGATGGATGGATGGAATATTTCCTTTCATTGCTTTGCAGATGGTACACAAATCTATTTGCATGTAAAATCCAATGACAAAGGCTCATTTCAGTCCTTGCTTAACTTCCTGAGAGACCTTGAAATAATTGAAGATTTTATTGCTTGTTTTCACAATTTTAAATGGCTTGGCACCTTCTTATTTACTAGAACTTTTACGTGTTCACACTCCTGTCAAAGCACTGAGGTCATCCAATCAGATGCTCCTTGATGTCCCCCGATCCCGGTTAAAAAATAAAGGTGGCCGAGCCTTTTCAGTAGCTGTTCCTAATCTGTGGAATATTTTACCTGTTCAAACAAGAACGGCTCAGACTGCTGACATTTTGAAGTCCTTGCTAAAGACCCACCTCTATTCATTGTCCTTCAAACAGAGTTGAATTTTGACATTTTTGACCTTTTCTACTGTCTTTGTCTTACTATATTTGTTGTGTATCCTGAATTTGGGAAGCATATGAATTTATTTGGTGATGGTTGTTTGCCACATTTTTTGGAAGGCACTGACATGTAATTCTTCTGAAAGTATTGCCAGGTACTGGTCATTTTGAAGAACAATTAAAAAAATAACCCAATTTTGTCGTTCGTCAGGTGTCAGATTTACTGGTAAGCTCCTTCAGTGTCTTTGCTTTTACAGAGATAATTGGGTGGGTTCAGTTAAAAAATCAGGGCAGTACAACTTTACGATGAGGCAAAGTAGTCTCCATTTTACACTACATTAGACGCTAAGCCTTTATTAACAGATATTAGATATATTAGCTTATGCTGCTGACTCAGCTACACATATCACATAACTTCCACTTCCTCTCACTCAGCCTTCCTGTTTCTTTGTCCTTTACAATAAAGCACAACATTACCTATAGAGAGAGAGATAGGATAAAAGCTCTGGTCAGAGTGAGTAACACCTGAGTAGCTATATCTCGTATGTCTTATTATTGCAGTCTCACTGCTCCTTCCAGTCTATCACCACAGCTGCAGAGTACATCGACATTTGGCTGCAGTCCCACGCTGCAAGACCCCACTAAAACATTTTAATTGGCATGCATGAAATGGAGGAACTCAACACATTTCACAGGACACTTCTAAGTGCAGCACTAATGTTGGATGTTTAGAGCTGTTTTGGCCATTAAGCTCATAACACTATACACAACAAAGAAATCAAGTCAATTAGACACAGATTAAGCTGTCTGTCAGGGTGCAGTGTTTAGTTTTTATGGCTCTGGTAATTTAAGCTTGTGTCCTTAAAGCAAAGCGGACCCTGCTAAACGCTGTCCCTGCAAAGGTGTTGCTGCTGAAATGACCAGCAGTGATAACACACACACACACACACACACACACACACACAGAGAAGGGCTTTTGCATTTGTGTGTTTGTGTGTACATATCTGTGTGTATGTGCGCAGTTCCAAGTGAGTGCCTCCTGGGCTGAAGTGGCTGAGCGTAGCCATCATCTTAGTTTTTGGGGATCCATGCTGTTTAATTGCCTATAAAGTGTTGATGATTGGAGTAGTGGGGATGTTAACAGCTGTGTTAATGGAGGTGTGTATGTGTGTGAGAAAAATACACTATACTCACTGTTCTAATTATCTACATTTTTCCATTACATTGGTACTGTTCTGTGCTATACCTGTGCTGGGTCTTTAATCTAATGTCCCCTGGGTGCAGCTGTATGGTGTTTTGGCTCCATCAGGCCACAAGCAATCTGCTGCCATTCCAGTTAGTGTACCAGTGTCAACTGTGTGCACAAGCATAGAGCCTCACTCAAGGCTCACGAGTGGCCAGTGAAGTAAGTGAGCCACTTGTGAATGTAAAGATGGCTGTGAATACTGTATTTCTTAAATAGTGTAATGCCCAAAATTGTGGCATCCCTTTTCCTGCTGCACAGACAAATGGTTGAGAACGCAGCAGCGCATCAGGTTTTTGATCAGCCCAAAATGACACATGTCACTCCATTACTCAGTGACCTCCACTGGCTCCCCGTGGCCTCCAGAATCAAATTCAAGTCACTAATGCTTGCATACAGAGTGAGTACTGGGTCTGCAACCATCTACCTAAACTCCATAATACAAACTTACGTTCCTTCTCGGCCGCTATGCTCCTCCAACGAACGCCGCCTGGCTCTGCCATCCCTTCACACAAAGCAATCCCAGTCCCGGCTATTCTCATCTGTGACACCACGATGGTGGAACGAGCTACCACACGCCATCAGAGCAGGGGCGTCCCTCTCTAACTTCAAGAAGCTCTTGAAAACTCATCTTTTCAGAGAACACTTTCTCTTATAACACGTCTAACTTCTAACATCTAACATGCACTTCCTGTGCTCTTCTTCTTCTATACCCTTACAGTTATCCTGTATTGATTGCACTTTTTGTTAACTCTTCCCTAGGTATTTACCCCACTGATGTGATATGTGCTATTAGCGCTTACTAGTATTTATTGCTGCTTTTACTAGTATGTATTGTCAGTTGTAGTTCTTGTACTGTCTTTGATGCTTTGTTGATGCTTGTATGTTGTTCATCAAGTGTAAGTCGCTTTGGATAAAAGCGTCTGTCAAATGAGTAAACGAAAATGTATTATAATTTTGATATTGAATGGAGGTGTAAGGAGCTTAGGTATAAGTTAATAAAACTAACACATATGGCTGGAGCTAGCTGTACAATGGTGGATCTTTATCCACTCTGTGTCAGTGGAAGGAAAAAAGTTTTTTTTTTTTGTGTCCATGGTTTTGTATGTACAGACGGGTAAAAACAAAATGCCCCTTAGAGCCTACAAAATAAAACCCTAGACAAAAACTAAAATCTAAAAAAACAGAAAAGTGTCCTCTCCTCTCAACTCTTTCGTGCTGATTAATTCATGCCAATGTAAGTGCAGCGCTCGTGCTTACTTATTGATGAGGACAATGTCAGGCAGCCAAACCTCCCAGAGGGGATCCGCAACACCTCTATCCCATCATTCTCCTTGGGTTTCCATGACAACCGATGATCGGTCCATTCCTGTGTTGTGATTATGTATGCAGAAATGTGGGAATTACACACAAGTACATAAAAAAAAGGGGCAGGGACAAGAGGGAAACTAAGAATGACAAAAGAGGGAAACCTTGCATTCACAAATGTGACAAATATGTCATTTCATCAGTGTATTTCTTCATGTTTCCACTGCTGTAATTAGATTCCATGGGGATTGTTTCCCTGTGCATTTGTCCTTGCATAACAAAATGCAACATTTGCATAAATATGTATTTTGCAATTACTACTCCTAGTGTTCTGGCTTTGTTTTTTATGTAGTGTATTGACACTGAGCTGTATGTTGATAGACTTATTTTCAGTGGAACTGCAGTCACTGGTTGCATTGGTCAAGATAATGTGAAATAGCAAGAAGTTACTGTGTTAATGAAAACGTTAACGCGTACAGGGGTTCCCCAAACAAACTGCTGGATCATTCATTGTTTGTTGGGAAGCCTTGAAATTTATGCCCAAAAATTCTAAACCCAACACCAATTTTCAGCCTCAGTGCAGCAAGCACACCGCAAATAAAAAATCCTACATGAGATGCCGTGAGAAGTGCTGACACACAAAACACACTTACCAGATTCATGACAACAACTGTGCTCATTTCTTCATTTTTCATATTCTGGAACAAATACATAAAAACATGTACGTGTTACTGTTGCCTCTCCTAATGATAATACACACCACATTCAGAACATGGCAGTGCTGGTGGTGATTTCAACACATTCAACTTTTTCTTACAATTTGAAACGTTGTTTGAGTTGTGAGCGTGGTGGGCGCTCGCCCTCTATTGTGACACTGCTCTAGTGATACGTTTTTGCAATTTCAATTTCATCATTTAACATTATGACAGAGTGAATTCTGCTGCCTTGGTTTGGTTTGGAGTATTTTCTATTTGGACTATTGCTGCTAAGCTAACAGCGCAAGTATGCCTTTTTGTGTAAATAAATCTTTCGTTTGAACTGCATCCTCCTCGCCTGAGTCTGCATTTGGGTCCACACCTCAGCTCCCTGACTGCACTCAGCCATTTCCCATGACAAAAGACTGTGATAATACATACATTACAGTGGTTTTAGATGTCCGAACAAGATCCACATTTCTCTCTGTGGCTCAACTTGTCCTGCTGAAGCCCATATGTTAATCTGATGGAATTCAATTCAGCTCTACAATACTACCATTTGAATGTGGAATTCTTCGGTCTGACCTAATAAGATCGCCGTTATGACTTTTATGTAAAAGTGACCAGGATACTAATCCAGACATGGAACCGACATGTTATATTGCCATCAGATTAACATAAAATGGTACATGTCTAAGAGGAGCTTCACATCCAGGTTTAAAAAAATGGAATGTCCCTTAAAATATCCGTCTAAAAACATCACCCAATATGGCGTTTTGGCTAATATGTTGCGGGTTATTTGAAAGGTTCTGTTTTAGAATTTGGACTTAATCCAGGGACAATGCATTAGCTGGATTAAAAGATGTCAATTTTGCTTTGCTGTAGAAGCATGCTGTGCTCTGACATCAAAACTAAAACAACCGCGACAAGTTGGGTTAACTTGGGCAATGCTCTTTTAAGTTAACTTGAGAGACAAGCATTTGGGAGAAACTTAAAGAGAAACCATAGAGTAAGAATTTTAACTTTTAAGAACACTTTTTTGTTTTTTGTCAGATATTTGCCTGTATTTTGGCATGCTAATGTGCTGAGTTTGAAAATTACAAATTTCCCATAGCTCTGATATTTTTCAATCACTGTAGTGTTCATGTCCTTTACTGTTCGTGATCATTACACTGTGACAGGACATGAAATCAATCGTCTACAGTTTCCTTGGCTGTTAGACGGACACACTGTATTTGCTATAGAAATCTGATCATAAAAAGCTTTTCTACTTCCTGTTCTCCATGACAACAATGAACAGCACCCTACCTTAAAATGGTGTCAATCATAGATCTAAACTACCTCGGGCTTCTGAAGCCTACTGTACTATGTTGTACCCCATACCGTAAGTAGGCCTACTTCGCAACATACCCAATAATTTGGGCTACAGGCATATACTATATTCCTAACAATACTTTGTTCCCTGGACATCTTGTTGTTCCAATAAAACACAAATGTACCCTGTAGTTGTTTAGGAACTATGTTAGCCTATCAACATTTTGTTACCATCAAGCATAGTTTCAGTGCTGCTGTTGGGCTTCTATGATCATCCCATACTGTATTGTTTGTTAGGAGAGTTACAAATAAATATTATATCAAGAGATAGGGCAGCATGCTGGAAATACAGCCTCGGCTTGTTGATAGTAGCTCCAAAAACAAAACAGTCATTTGAGATACTGGCTGGTTTGACAGCAATGGACACGTACCAGCTTATTCCATGACAGAGATTGATGTAGCGATGAAGGCTTTAGTAAAGATGTTTAAATAGTCATTGAGTGTGCCCGAGCAAGTGTGGGTCTGTGAACGTGTGCATGTGATTGTCTATCCAGGGGGAAGGTGGAGCTTCCCTGAGCCGGGCCTGCTATTTAAAACGCTGGGAGGAATGTCAGGGAGACAGCTGGAGGGAGGGGGGTGGGGTGAAGGGAGGTTGACTTAAACCGTCTCTCTCACCCTGTCACACAAACACACATAACTATCTCATCACTGGCCTATCACTTACTGATATTTCCTGTAACTGTTTGGATTCGCCTCAGCATGTCCCTCTGGGGGATGGTTTATAATAACACTGCTTTTAACCAGCTGACTAGTTCCGGGCAGGCGGGGAATGAGCATCCAAGTGGGTCAGTACTCAAGATCGTTCCACTCCACAACTTAAAAGCCCCATGTGACTTCCTCTCCAGAGTGAGACTGACCTTGAGTGGAGGTGTAAGGAGTGTCCTCGCAGTAAATGTGTGTGTAAATGTCACACTGCGTCGATATGCGTTTCAGTGTGTGTGTACTGTTGCCACAGAGAATAGAGCCAAGGGGAAATTAAGGAACAGATAAAGTGACCTGGTGTGTGAGTGTGTGTATTATTGTTCCATTTTTAAGCAGTCACTCAGAAGCTTAGTCAGTGCATGCTGCTAAAACACTATTTCCCCGCAGTACTTCACATCAATAGGATGACTCTTTGTGCCATTTGACGCAGCAGGCCATTAAGCTTTGAATTCAGAACCAGATGACTGTCAGATAAAGTCACAGTTCCAAATTAAAAACTACACTTTTTGCCACATTTTTTGTTATATATATATATATATATATATATTTTTATGTCTTGTCCATAGGAATACAGTGGTCCTCAGCATGGGGAGAAACCACTGCGCATAAAACCACAGTCTGTGGAAATCAGATTGGATTTTTAAATATGCATTTGTCAGAGGCAAAGCTTTTATTGAGGCAGAAGAACCTCAAGAGTTTTTTGTGGGTAAGTTACAGTATTAAAGCGGAGTAAAATGTGATACAGGCATCCTAGGTGATTTCATGTACTGACTGTATCACAAAACAATGAATGGTCACATCAACTAATATACTTATTCTGCAATTTTCAGTTTGGAAGCCTTTTTAAGGTATAGTAAGCCTAAAAGCACACAGTATAACAACACCATCACCTCATTAGTCTAAAATATTTTGCATTGGCCTGAGTACTCTCTTTGACATTTAGACTGTAGAGTGACAATGTCTAGGACAATTTCTGACAGTTCTTGTAGTGGCATTTTTGATGTAGGCCTAGTGTTATTGGATAATCCATTCAATGATTCATGCCAGTGTTATTCAAATGAGAAATGTTAATAGCACTTCAGCCCTAATCTGCCATATGAAAGTATCCAGTTTTCCAAAGGTGAATTAGGCTTTATTTCTTTTTCTGATTTCTGAAATTTCTTGTATAGCGCCTTGAACTCTGTGAAACACAAGGATTTTCGGATATCCTATAAGGAAACAGCACTTCTATCAACTTTGCTGTTGAGATGGTGGAAATCATGGGTCCACAGGCCTCTGATTTTTCATCTCTTATACTTCGGTCTCTGTTTTGTTATATTCTGGTTATGCACATACAGTATGTATGTAAATGATTGTCCTCACCAGTCCAACGAAGGAGGTGAGGACCATACCCACTCGAACCACCACCTTCTCTTCAGGACTGGCTGCTGGCCGCACTTTAAGGTTGTAGTTGGCAAAGAGTTTCTTCATCAGAACGTTCTCCGCATCAGATGCACCTGTATGACAGATAGATAGAAGGCTTATATGACTGGTTGAGTTTTGGTGATGGTAAATGGACTATTCTTGTAAAGTTCCTTTCTAGTCTTCCGACCTGTCAAAGTGTTTCACACCACAAGTCAAGATTCACCCATTCACACACATTTATTAACTGATGGCAGTGGCTACAATTGAAGTCAGCTGCTCATCAGAAACTAATACATTCACACACACACACACACACACACACACACACACTAACCATCTGGAGCAATATGGGGTTCAGCATCTTGCCCAAGGGCCGGGGACTGAGCCTCCGACAGTGATTAGTGGATGACCCACTCTACCTCTAAGCCACAGCCTCCCCAACTTCATGTTTCCAGCTGTCATCAGTCCTGTTGATTTCGTTACGTATGGATTATGAGAAACCCATTGCAGGTAATCGTTTTAATTCAACCTCCAGGAAAAAATCTCAGCATAATTAGGCTGCAACTGCATCAATCATTTATTAATAATTGCAAAATCATTGGTGGCAGCTGGATATGTGTTCACACATCTGCAAACAACAATCTTTCTAATTACCATTGTGAACCAAATTCTATCCATTCTGTCCATTAGTTTTTTCTCTCACAGCTTAAAACTGATAAAATAAACCCAGACATTTTGTCCTAAAGTTTCTGCTGGCTGCTCTGTGCAAAACCCATCACAATGGTGACAAGTAGGAGTGAAACTAACTGACTGGCAGGGAAGGTGTGTTGAGCATTCAAATATCAGACCCAATGAACCTAACTTGACTAGTTGTAGCTAATTTTGGAACTATGGAACATCTTCCAGATCCTTCCCAGACCCACCTACGAGTCCCACTTTCCGATCCCACCACCCACTCACACTAACTGCAAAGGGAGAGATTTCAGTGACTTGGTAACAAGATTAATTTGGGTAGAATTTGTTTTGTATTCTTTATAAAGTGAGAATCTTTGATTATAGCCACATATAGGATACGTTTGATCACATTTAACACTACTGCAACTCATAGACCATGTGAAAGCTATATAAAAACTGACAAAATAGTAATAATAGTATTACAAATAACTCTATTTATGCATGTTTATTGCCTGTAGACTGTTGTTACCCAGTAACAGGCCTGTAACATTGTGAACCTACCAAAACCCAAACGTTTACATTCTGTTGCATTTTTGCACATTATTTCCACCCATTTCCTCCTCAGTGTTGGAAGGTCGGAAGCATTTATAATCAACAGCTCTGGTGACGCAGCATTCATCACGTCTGGCATAGCTGTGGCCCCGGCAGGATCTGACCTGACAAGAATAAATGACAACGATCACCCAGCAAGGCACCCACATTAGCTAGGCACAGGGAAGCATGCCTGCTGATGGGCGAGACTGGGATGTGGTAAATAAGTCAGACTACAATCAAGACCAGTGAGATCAGATGAGGTAAGACCATGTTGATGGCTAGTGCTGAGCATGTGGAGGATGTTAAAACAAGTTTAACTGATGGCGATAAAGTAAAGAGGCAAATCTGACTCGTCATTTGTAAGTTTTAGCTCTTCTGAGGTCACTTTGATAAAGGACATAAGACAAATGTATCACTCCTCATACTTGAAAAGGCACTTAAAATCCTTACTAAACACAAGTGAATCACTAAACATGATTGGTTAGGTCAGTGGTTTGTGTGCACTGTTCATGTCCAGAAACCAGTAGTCGGTTATCAAATCCATTGCCTGAAGACAACAAAAATTATGGCTATCAAGTGACAATGATTGTTTATGGTGTATCTGATTATATTTAGTTAAATTTGCTACTGCTGTCCACAATAAGTTTCCTATTTTACCATACCTTTGTTTCTTTCCTTCCATGTTTTCCTTCACCCCCTTCTTTCAATATTACCATGAATATGCTACATTGTTTAGTTGATGCAAGTATAAGTAGTTTAAGTATAGTACAAGATTTCAACTCAGAGAGAGCTGCACATTGTTAAACACAACAGAGATGGTTTCCATGCAAAAATTACAGACACCAACTTGTTACCTGGTTTTGGAGCCCTTTCTGTTATCGCAGCCTAGTCGACAGTATGACAGAATGCTAAAAAACTATTTGATAAAATGCCTATGTCATTTCTATTCACATTTGTATCTGTGGTGTATGTTTAAATTGTACTTAATGGCATTGTTTTAATTTTATATGAATTTCATAGCCACACTAGAGGTTTGGCTTTAGGGATGGGAGTGTCTGTTTGCTGATTGGCCACCACTTTGGTCCGATAAGACTGATATATCTCAACAACAATTCATTGGGTGGCCATACAGGTTTGTACAGAATGTCTATTAGAAGCATTGCCATGAAATTTGCTGCAGATATTTAAGATCCCTAGAGAATTATTTTTAATAACATTAGTGATCCCCTGACTGTTCATCTAGTGATTCAGGTCTAGAAAAAATCTAATTATACCAATTATTTATTTCAATATGTTGTCATACCTAAAACATTATGTGACCATTGTATTCTTACCAGTAAATTTTCTTGGGTTATTAGGCATTCATTAATGATAGTAACATATGAATTGTTACTAGTAAGAATGGAATAGTTACTAGTAACTAAAAAATAAGCACTTGTATCTAAATAGACACTAGTAAAATGGAAATGGTTACTAGTAACTACTCGAAAAGTTACTAGTAACTAATTAATAGGTTATATCTGAACTGCAGAGACCCATTGATTTCAGTGGGAAAATGTGCAATCAGAGACTAGTAATTAAAAGTTAAGTACTAGTATCTAATCAATTATTACTAGTAAAACGGGAATAGTTACTAGTAACTAATAAAAAAGAAATGTTAACATATGGCTTGCCATATTCATGAACACTAAAGCAATGTGACTATTAGAGAGCAGTAAGCATAATTAAACTAAAGTTTCATTTATTATCCTTTCAGAAATTCAGTTTACATGGGCCAGACCTGTGTTGTCAAGCACCATTGATTACGTTTGTCAATGTCCACAACTTCTCCAACTGAAATAGCACTATTGTGTACCATTAATATTCCTATAAGAACTTCCACTGAGTCCCAGAGACTCAATACTATTCCTATAATATTTCTTTCTTCCATTGTTAATATGCTATTCACTGGTGGGTTCTAGTGAACTTTAGGTAATTCTTTGTTGGCATGTGGCATGTGATGTTAGTGTAGTAACCGTGTTAGCAGTATTTCATAATTACTACAGCTTATGTGGGCGTTTTGCATCAGCTTATGCCTTACCTCCCAATGTGCTCAGGCTGCATAAGCAACATGCCAGCAGGAACAGTTCTAGGCTTTTCATGGCGACCCCCCGAAACCAAAACAGATCCCCACAGGTCGATTTATCCACTTTCTAGATAGTCTGTTTTACTTCTTCTCCTTTCCAGTGCAGCTCAATGGAACTCCTCAGTGTAAGTTTTGGTTTAGTCAGTTTGGACTGTTGTTGTCAGTCAGTCAGGCCAGCCTGGCCACCTGCTCTCTGCTCTAATTCCATCCTTGGGGAGGGGAGGGTGTGTGTCACTGTTAACCCCCTCAGCCCTCAACTCTGCCCAACGAGAGCTTACTGGTTTTCAAACTGTGGCTGAGGTTCAAACAGGAGTCCTTGTAAGGTTTCCAGGCAGGTCCTCAGGAAAGAGACTGTGAATTTCATTAATATTTCATTAGTGATAATATGGTGTAGGGAAGAGTGGTTTGGTTAGAGGCTTTTTAATCACATTTTCTTACTGACAAGTATGCAAATGACAAGTATGACTTGTGCAACCTGTCTTCTTTGAATAAGGTGTTATTTGAGCATATTCCATTTTCATTTAACATGTGTGTTGTTCAAAGGGAATGAACACATGACCCGTCATTAGCAAAAATGATTCTCATGAATCATCATGTCTGTCCATGCAGTTAAATACAAATGTAGTGCACAAGTTTACGAGTCAAAATCAACTGAGGCTAAAAAGCCACTTTCTGAGAAAACATCTCTGGTAAAGAGCAACATCATGTGCATTGCTGGTGTGCTTTCACTAATGTAGTAGGGACCCCTATCCTCCTTCTCCACCCCTGTTCAGACACTGCTTACATTGTTTTTACATATTCATTTCTGATCTACTGAATATGCCACATTTGTTACTATGCTACATGACAACTTTCATTTCAGGCCGCTGAATTGTAGGAGTCATAGTAGAGAAATCCGCACAGTGTAATTTGTACATCAAACAGCCGATTGGTCTGCAAACATTCATCCTGCAAGACATTCACCACTCACTGTTGAGTTGATCACTCTAAAAAGGAGTGAAGAGTCACTAGGCCTATTGGTCCTACTATGGTTCAGGCAGAGAGACCCTCATTTTATCCATCTCTCTTACTCCTTAGTCCAATATCCCAGGGATTTACGTCCATACTGGACAGTCCTGCACCTTACAATTCACACCCAGCACCAATGCAGGGTGTGTTCTTTCTGTTTAAAGTGAAAAGTAAGGATGTGGAGATGGGATGGGGGATGTCCAACTTTCACAAAGTCTCTGTTCTTGTCTGTTGTGATATAAAATGTGCCTTTATGCCAGGACATATAGAGGTGATACAGCAGCCATAACTCTCACAATATAATGCAAAGTTGATCAGACTGTTGTATTTTCTAAAGGCCCCTGCAGTAAAGCGTCTCTACCCTTCCTAAATCCCTCTGCTCATCGCTTCATGCTGCTGCTCTCCCTCACATTCAACAGCCATCCACGCAACCATAATTTATGACCCACTGTCAGTGCCACTTGGCCTGATGCCAATTTAATTACCATAGAAGCTAACCATTAATAGCTAGCTGCCGTGTTAAGTCACACATCCGATCTGTGGTCATAAGGGAGTGTATAAAGCCCCTGTTGGCAGTGACTCAAATTCAAGGATCTCTCCCAGAGTGACATTAATAGATCACTGTTTAATACAGAAGTAAGCAGTTAAGTTAAATTAGACTGATTGTTTACTCATGACATGTGACAGGATTATAGTAATCAGATGACGTAAAAAGTTGATGTCAAGATTATATAGTTTGATGTTGGAGATGGTTCAAAGTTCCCACTTTCTTTCTCACTTACATTACATTGGAAATTCATCAGTTAAAAAACTTTTATTTACATAATTAATACCTATCTCCAAACACAAATAAAGTTTGTCTAATCTGGATTTTTGCCAATGGAATATGAAGTTTGGACTTTGATTGAAAGTGGCGGTCACAGAAAATATGTAAACACCCTAGTCTAACCCTATTCAACATTTTAAACCATGGGCATAAATCAACTGCCATAGGAGCCTCCACTTTCGTTTCATCAGACTTTGGAACCTGGCTTCAGGGATTTGCTCCCATTCAGCCACAAGAGCATTTGTGATGTAGGTCACTGATGTTAAGTGGTAAATTAAAGGTAATCCAATTTATCCCAAAGGTGTTGGATGGGAATGAGGTTGGGCTCCACACCAAACTGTGAAAATCTTTTCTTTATAAAGGCTATGGCAGCTTTGTGCACATGGAGCACTGTCATGTTGACACTGGGATGGGCAAAACAAAGTTGCCTTACAGTTTGGAAACCTCTGGGAAAAAAATACGTTTTTGGCTTTCACACCGACTTAACAAACAAACCGAGAGGATTGAACATGAAGTCTATGGATTGCCAGATACTCATTCATTTGACAGCTGGGGACTGTCATTTTGCACGGACCAGCAGAAATTCCAGTGATTTATTAATTCAGCACTTTACTCTGTATATCAAGGGCTTAGAGCCAAAGGAGTGTAAGTGCCATGTTGCGTGAATTTGAATATTAATATCAAAAAGATTTCTACTGAAATTATGACTCATAGGTTTTAATCGAAAGGAAACTGAAAGCTGTAACAGTAAAAGTGGGGCTTTGGTCTTTGCTTACGCCCTTTTGGCACTGAACAAAGCATCGTGGATAACATCACTTAAGTCAAAATAGCTTGCAGCAAAGCCTGGTCAAATAACAACAGTTTTAATGAGTTTGATGGAAGATGACCCGATGAAATAGTTGATCTTAACATTGACTAATAGCCACAAGGTAAATTCTTTAATTCTTTTCTCACTCACCGTTAGCATGGTAACAGCCGGACCATGCTAGCAACATGATCACATAATTTTCACTAGCCTATCAAGCCTAATCTAGGATGACCAGATGTCCCTGGAATGTTTTTAACTGTGTTTAATCATCCTTCCGCTGTTGTTAACAGACCTGTAATCAGATTTTACGTGGCCAGAAAGACTGGACAGCAGAGCATCCAGGTGTTGTGCCTAAAAGTGATCGTCCTTCAAAAACTGATGTAAAAGCTGTATTGCCCAATCTCTTTACGTCTACAGCGCTTTTATCTGGATCAAACACACATAACGTTCAAACAAATCACTTTGTACCGTGGTAATAGTAAAGGTATTTATTTGTGATACTTTAAAGAAGTGGTATTATGCTTTTTGGCTTTTTCCCTCTCCTTTATTGAGTATATACCTTTTTTGTGCTTGTAATAGGTTTGCAAAGTGAAAACGCCCAAAGTCCACCACAAAGGGAAAGCCTACCTCCCACAGAAAACTCTGCTCTGAACTGCTTGAAAACAGCTTGTTTGTAGTCCAACCGCTTAGCTAAATGCGATTACGCTAAAGGCGTTACTGCTAAAGTTAGCCCGTGAATTTTATAATGCATTTATGCATACATGCTATGTACCCTACATATTGTACATATGTGTAAAAAAAATTATTTATGAACGAGGGAGGGATCCAACTGAAGCCCGGGAGAAAGAGCAGCCAGGAAACAAGGAGAGGAGGGAGTGAGAACAAAAAGAAAGAGAAATAAATGTGGAAAGAGAACAAGATGAAGTTGAGTCTGAGGAACTAACAACCAGTGCTGATGGAGGATGTTGCCAACAATGTTGAAGAACTCAGTGACAGTGATATGCAAAGAGGAAGAAAAGGAAAATACATACTGAAAAATGGAAAATAAATCAAAAAGACTGAGAAGTTTAAATTATGGTTGTGTGTTTAGGCGTGCTTTACTTTGTTTTAATTTGTAAGTTTTGCTTCCTGTTGCCATTTTCCTTGATTGTTTCCACCTGTGACTTTTTATTCACCTCCCTCACCCTGTTTTATTGATTGTCCTACGCATTTTGGATTTACTTTTGGACTTTGTTCTCTTTAGTTATTCTTGTTCTTTGGATTGTTATTCCCTGGCCTGCCTCCCTCAGTATTATTGTGTAAGTTCTTTTCATTTGGTTCATTAAACACTACTAACTGCACCTGCTCTGCCTAAGGGTCTGCATTTGGGCCAAATCCTTTGTTTCTGTGTCTGCATTTAACAAACCCCAAGTTTAGGCCACAGTTATGTTAACACAGGGCTGCCACATGCTTTTACGCCAAAAGGCCATGTTCTCATGCATTGAAAAAAAAAATGAAACATTCACAATTGATAATTGATTGATTGATTACTTAGCTAACTTAGTTGTGTGTTGGACAAGAGGACCCAAACGCAACGCTCAGACTAAACAGGTCGTATTAGGGAAAAAGGGGTTGAGGGATTGGAGGTGAGGGAGAGGTGGCCGCCGGGGAACACGGCACAGACCAAGGAGCAAGTAGGGCAGAGGGGCTAAGACAAAGGAGCCATGGGCACCGGGGACCGAGGAAGGGAGGAGGCACGCAAGACCTCACCGGGGGTTGGTGGAGGAGTGTGGTGGAAGGCTGACTGGCGAGGCACGGAGAGCCGGGGGGACGCCGTGGAGGAAGCCCGAGGGGAGAGGGCAGGTAGGCGAGCCCAGCTGACGCGGTGGTGGACGGAGTGAGTGAACCTGGGAAGGGCAGACAGAGAGACAGGGTTAATGACTGGGACAGAAAACAGGGAAACAGAGATTTTGCGGGATCAAAAGCTTGAGTCAAGCAGTGGCACCAGGTCAGGAGCAATGACGATCAAGCAGAGGTTGCGTGGAGAACCGGGTTGATATACTGGGAGCGATGGAGTTGATCGCTGGCAGTTGTGGCAGGAAGAGGGCTACTGATGAGGTGCAGGTGGGCTCAGGAGCGGAGAGAGAGAGGGAGAACACAAGCAAGGGGAGCAGAGGAGACAGAGAGGGAGGCAAAACACAGGGGCAAACCATAGACAGTATATTACTGGACGAATGGAGAGCAGTGAAGCCTGTTTTGGACCAATAAAATACTACTGCAGGGCTACTTCCTGTTGGCACCAGTGTCTACTGCGCATGATCACGCAGCATAAGCGTGGTTTAATGACATAGAGCAACGGCAGAACACCGTAATTCTGGTAGCTGCATAGCTGCACAAACAAAAAGTTTCTTGGCTCAGTGTGTTTGTCTGACTTGGATCGTCACTGTTTAATCAGCGCACCTCCGAGGCTCACCTGCCAAACCCACACCTGATGGCCAAATAGTTGTTTTAGATTCACTGAGAGTTTAATCTAAGCAATACGGTTACATATCTCATGT